TTATATAACAAAAACTATTTATAAAAAGCAAGAAAGAGAGAATATTAAAAACCAAGACTGTGATTTCTAAAAAAAAAAAAAAAAAATAGACTGGCATAAGTCGGTGTTCTTTCCGAGTTTCTAAATCAAGCTCTCAAGCGTTGACCAGCTTTCAACACTCCTCAGATCTGTTTCTACCCTTCCTGTTCTCAGATATTCATAGAAAAGGACACGAGGAGTCAAAAAAAAAGAATCACTCTGAACTTTCACTTGATTCTGAACAACGAACCTGTCTGCTTTAGAGCTTAAATGTCTCATAACACTGTTGCCAGAGCAACAACATCTCTGAACAGCAATCAGGGTAGTTTAACACTGACATTTACTCTTTCCTATAAGACAACGACATCTCTCACAAAACGGCAAGATTTCATTATGGAACTTTTTAAAGAAACGCCTAAAATTCGCCCTCTGTGTAAACTCTGGCAGCAGGCAGCGAGCAAGATACTGCATGTTAATGACATGTGAAGAGGGAGAGAACTATCAGGAGAAAAACTCCTTGTCTGAAGTTTTAGAATTAAATATCCCTTTAAGAATAAATTAAGGCATTTGAGCAACTCAAAAATAAAAAAAACAAGCTCTTCGGAGAGGAGCGCTTAGAGAAATGGAGACTTCAATCAAGCGAACATGTTGAGCTTTAGCCACTGGTGGGATTATGAAATACATCTGTTAAACACATTTATAGGCCTTTCTTTCCTACGCACAAAGAACATCAGCAACTTCCTTGGGACAGATGAAAGGATATGTGAAGTTTGCGCTTCCCATTAAAATGTTTAATTTGGGAAAAATAAAACAAATGAAAGCTGCATATTTAATTTTCTTACAGCTTTCTTATGGCTCACAGGCCAACAAACTTCAAAGATGTTTTAAACCAAAGCTAGAGTTTCAGACACTGAGCTGTGGAAACACACCATCAAAAGCCTCTGAGTGGACACTGAGATAATTGTGTTCAAATAAACAATAAAACATTTTGTATTTATGGAAAACGGACATATTTTGAAATAGTCTGAAGAATGTTTGATGCACATTAACACAAAAAATAATTTACTGAAGCTAAGCTGCATAAAGCCACAACCATGAGCTCATTAACATATGACCTCCCACTAGGCATGGGCTGATTACCGGTTTCAAGGTATACCGCGATTTGAAAATTTCACGGTTTCAAAAACACTAATATTTTCCGTTATGCCGTTCCTGCGGTATGCGCTGTTTTTCATGTCTCCTCAAAGACTAAAAGTGTAAGAATCCCTCCGGTTGAGGGCAGTGTAGAGAGTAACACGACCCTCCTGTAAACCCCCGTTAACACAGGCCAGAGACGCTGAAGACGGACGCAAAGAGAAAAATACCGTAGCAGGCAGATCACTCACTGTTCATGATGCACGAACTATTGGAAGAAAATCCTCAATATTGCTTTGGGGGTTTATATGAATGTGTTTCTGAGGGGAACTGACTGTCTTCAGAAAAGTTTACGTGGTATTTTCTTTTCATCTTGTCTCTGTATAGTTCATATTAAAGCGGTGTTTCAGCGCAGCGCTGCTTTGTTTACGGCGGTAAGCTGTATCTGGTGTTCCAGAAGCGCCTCCTGCTGTCAGAGAGTGAATCTGCGTCTCATTCAGAGCATCTGCTGTTTGTTTCGTTCAGGCATGTAGTATAATTTCACAAAGCTAGTCAGAACTTTGTTTTTGCTTCAAATTGGGTTATTATTAAATCAAATTATGTATATGAAATTATATAACTAAATGATATGAAATTATAAAAATGATATGTATATGAATTATATAACTAAAACTAAATAACTGTAATTACAGATTTAGGTTAAATAAAGATGTCAATATAATCAAAATATATTGTGTTCAGTGTATTTTTATTTTTTTTACCCAGTCATTTAAAAATAATACATTTTAGAGCTGTAATGACAATACCGTGATACCGTGATATTTTTGTTAAGGTTATCATACTGTCAAAATCTCATACCGGCCCATGCCTACCTCCCACACATGCAAATAATCTCATTCACATATGAAATATTTAAAGAGGCAGAAGCAAAAAGCAGCCTGTTTAGATCAGAGTAGGACTAGAATGGTTGTACAAAAGTAAATTATGACTGTGTTTGGTACAAGGACATCAAGGGAAAAACAAAAGGCTCTCTCACCTGACGATGGGCAGTTTGGTGAAGGAAACAGGAGGAAGTTTGAGTCCGTCAGGGAGGCTGATCACCTCCATTCCACCCGGACACTTTGACGTGTAGTTTTCCAGACTCTGGGTCACTTCTTTCTTCTCTGTGGAGAGAGAAAGAGAATGTGTATTGTTATTTTTGTGACAGCAACATACATACTGAAATTATAAAATAATAATAATAAATAAATATAAATTGTATAAATAAATGTATATAGAGAGAGAGTTTTATTTTTCTAAATGAAATATAAAAACAAAATATAACACTAAAATATTATTTTATACATAAAATGTATGGAAGCCTGTTTCTGCCACTAAATAAAAAATAAAACATGGTAATTGTGAATTCAGAATTGCGTGATATAAACTCACAATTGCGAGTTATAAAGTCAAAATTGCGAGATATTAAGTCGCAATTCTGACTTTTTTCTTGGAATTGCGAGTTTATCTCTCGCAATTCTGACTTTATAACTCGCAATTGTGAGTTTATCTCTCGCAATTCTGACTTTATAACTCGCAATTGTGAGTTTATCTCTCGCAATTCTGACTTTATAACTCGCAATTGTGAGGAAAAAAGTCATAATTGCGTGATATAAACTCGCAATTGTGAGAAAAAAACTCACTCAATTCTGACTTTATTTCTCAGAATTGCGAGTTTATATATTTATGACTTTATAACTCGCAATTCTGACTTTATAACTCGCAATTGTGAGTTTATAACTCGCAATTCTGACTTTATAACTCACAATTTTGACTTTGTAACTCGCAATTCTGACTTTATAACTCACAATTTTGACTTTATAACTCGCAATTGCGTGTCATAAAGACAGAATTGCAAGATATGAACACGCAATTCTGAGAAATGTTTTTATTGTGAGATAAAAAGTCGCAATTACCTAGTTTTATTTTTTATTCAGTGGCGGAAGCGGGCTTCCATAAAAATTTACTATACAGGGTTCGTACACATTTTTACCAATACATTTCCATGACTTTT